TTCAGCAGCCACACTAAGGCAGCCCAACCAGACAATAACAACAAGCTAGTGCTGCAGCCCTCCTTGTCAAGAAAACACGGTCTAGCGTTTCGTGCCCCACTGCTTTCCAAAACGCTCTCAGCTCCCACTGCATCTGATAAAGGCCTTGCAAGCAGAGGGCAGAAAGTGGATGCCAGCAGTGCTTCCCTCCACGTCCCTTCTCTTGGCTTGCTGCACGTGCTGCTAACTTTGGCAGGAGAAATAAGGTAGAGGAAGTGCAGAGCAGGGCTCAGGCAACAGCACAGCATTAGCCAATTACTGCAATCAGGACCTTCCCCAGCTGGAGAAATTTTCAGCTAATTAAGTTATTTTGTCAGCACCATAGAAGCAATTTTGCTGATATACCAAGCAGCATAGTGCTGGTCCTGACCCTGCTGTCCCAGCAGCTTACTAGTGTCAGCTGCAAACAGCCACTGACATAATTTCCCCCCTTTCTTTGTAAATCATAATTTTACAGTATGTTCCCCTTCGACTATGCACCAGTCCCTGATGCTTTTTTTAAGTCCATGTGAGAAAGTGAAAAACTTGAGTCCTTGCAAATGTTGAACACCTTTCAAATAATCATCTTTAAGAAGGCAGTCTCTTCTGTTCATGTATTTCAGCTGGCCTTCTGTATAAACTCCTGCAATTCATAGAATATGTATCTCCACAAGCCCTACAGAACCAGAAAATATGCAGTTAAATCTCTTGTTGCTCTACAGGCCTGAAGAGAACCCACCTCTCCTGCTCCAAGGAACAGCACTTTCTGCTCTACAAGTGGTTTACCAGTGGCTTTCTGTGCTGCCAGCAGTCCTGCCAAAGCCACCGAAGCTGTCCCTGTAAAAGCAGTACAAATCTAAAGTGAGCTGAACAGATCCACATGGCATATACATTTCTGCATATACATTAAGGAACATAAGCAAAGGATATACCTTGAATGTCGTCATTGAAGGTACAATATTTCTCTCTGTATTTTCTTAAAAAGCGAAAAGCGTTGTGGTTTCCGAAGTCTTCAAATTGGATAAGTGTGTTCTGGCCATACCTACAGAACATGGCAAATATTCCTATCACCAGACAAATAAAGAAATGCAGTTGTTTTAAAACAAATCCTGCACGTAATCAATTATCTTTGGAAAGAAGATGTCCTCAGGCCTTTCACTGCTTAAAACAGTTCCATCTCCGTTCTGTGCATATTTAACAGATAACTACAAGCAGCATGTTCCAGGTCACAGAGGAAACCACTACAGAGCCAGAAATACAGCCATGTCTCTTGACTTAGTCCTATCCTTACTCCGTAGATGACTGTTTCAAGGACAGTGTGTAACCGGGGTTTTTTTGGCAGCAGTCTTGGCCATACTTCCGTGCAGGGTATTCAGTGTCATACCTGTCTGTAATGGCTTCCATAAATTCATCAATTAGGTCATCATAGACCTGTGAGCGATCCCTTTTTTGGTACAGGCCCATGTAAAACGGATCTTTTAGGAGTGTCTGAAAAAGAATAAATCAAAGACAGCAGCAGGATGAATCACTTCCTCAATATACACTTTCCAGAGTTCACAGTAACACATTTCACACCAAAGAGACTGTGTTGATACAGCCACTGTAACTGCCTCCAGTCTATATCAATGTTCAGTAATTTCAGCTGGCACTTGAGGTTGGTGATGGCTGCTTTTAAAATGGAACAAATCAATACTGTGAACAATAAACTGCTTTAATAAATCTGACTCACATTTCCAGCTGCTTAAAGTCAGGTCAACCTGACCATTATTTTACAGTGTTCCAGCTATCGAACTACTTCCAAACATAGCATTTCACTGACAAATTAACTGGCCTTTCTCAATCACTTATATGTAACTGTCTAGTGAATTCCAAATCACCCTTACATAAAATATTTGGTTTCATCTTAAAGTGCTCAAATTCAAATCTTCTCTTCAGGTACTAAACAGTCCTAAATAAATAATTTCCATAGGGATAACTTATGGCAGGCAAATTTCAGTCAAACTCACTGTATTATCAGTTCCAACGTCGATGCACACAGGCAAGCATTTATCTGGATGTATTCCTGCACAGGCTGTATACAAACACAGTTTTCCTACTGGAATTCCCATGCCGTACACACCAAGGTCTCCAAGACCCAATATTCTTTCTCCATCAGTGACGACAACAGCCTGAAAACAAAAGCAGGTAAATGAGGTACAGTTACTGGCACTGATAAAGTTTAGAGCAACACCAGCTGTGTTTTTTCCAGGCAAATATTCAGGTTATGTTTGTACAGTTAAACGAAGAAGAGATTACAAGGAATTTTACTTCAAGCACTAATGCTTAATGTTAGAATCTGCTATGCTCCTTTTCCTTTGCTGAAAGCCACTGCCCACATCCCTGAAAGCTAAGTGGGAAGGATCCAAGCCGCTGTGTGGAACAGCAGCTTGTAACTTGGGTCTATGATTTCCACTTGTAAATCCAGACATCAAGAATTTCAGGTAAGTGTCATTCACCTCACCTCCCTTTGTTGTTCTTGACCCAGCTGGGTCATACAGGTTTTAATGGCAAAATTTGGGCCTCCCAACTACCACTTCTGCATCCTAATTTGAGGACAAGATCACCTCTCCTACTACTGTGTAACACAGTAAGTAAGACCCAGAGGTGCACCCCCTAAAAAGCGGAATAACGAATAAAATAAACATTTTGGTAAGTCTAGTTCTCATCATCACTGTTTACTCAAACCACGAACCTCATATTTAGGATAAACCACTGCTCTTCAAGCCACGCATTATCTTCATTAGCTCCACTTTGCCATCATACTATTTAGATTACCATGAAATACTAAGAAATCTTAAGGTCAAGCGAGATTGGAGAATAACTAGAAAAAAAAACTGTACAGTGGCAGTACCTTAACGTCGTTCTCTGGCCAGTTGTTCACAATTGACCTGATATGGCCTCTGTCTGAGATAGAAATAAATAACCCTCTGAAAGAAAAAAAAACAAGGCAGATATATTTTATAGGTAGCAATTTGAAATTTCACCTGGCTTTGTAAAACTAAATGCCAAAGAGTACAATTTTCTTAAAACTGAAAGCATTGCAATCGCTGACATAAATTACTCAAAGGACAATTTCTAATGCACAAGTCTATTCGGCTACTTTGATGCTCTAAAATAAGGATACAGAAAAAATGCTTTTCATGATGCTACCTTCATTTTACACTACTATGGACATTCACCTTTAGTACTCCTCTAGGGCAAAACACCTCTGGTGCTAGCGTCAGACACGACAGGATCTACGCTCCCCTGTGAGGACACGAGAAGGGAACATGATCTGAAGCCTGGCTTTACCTTAGTAAATCTCCATTCATGACATTACACGAGGTGAGGGGAAGGAAAAGAAAGGAAGAGAAAGACAGGGACTGAGCACACTGTCTTCTCCAAGACCAGCATTCCCACTGCTGACTGCTTCTCCATGGGAACACGGGAGGGGAGGCAAAGGAGCTGAGGGGAAGAGCAGAAATACCCGTGTTTCTTCTGCTCAGGCAAGCCCTCGGTGGTTAGGAGAAAAGGGGGCATGAAAAGCTCAGCAGAGGGGGTAAAAGGTAAGTTACCAACACTTGGGAAGTGCTGATTCTGGGAAAGAAAAGGGCACATCCTGAGTTCCTACCCATGCTGCTGCTTACTGCACGGACAACTACTAGAGGCGCAGGGTTTTCAAGCTGGTCTGTAATATGTAGAAAGAAGAAGAGGAGGAAAGGAAGTATGTGAGAACTAGGAGCACATCTTTCACATCCCCTGCTCCAGATCAGGAGCAAAACCATGAGTTCCTTACTGTCTTTATCACAGCAGCTGCACTACACAGCCAAGTCCTCACGGCAGCGATGGATCGGCCCTTCCTCCGCACAGCACCAAAGCCCTCCAGCGAGAGAAGGCTCTAGAAATAGACTTTGAATTGCAGTGAGAGCGGCACAGAAACAAGCTGAAATTACTGCCAGTCTGAACCGGGACTATCTGCACTCCACGGACTCTGCTGAGCTATCCTCAGTCAAGCCTCTCCCTGCTTTGCCAACGTCTCTCCTTGCACGCTGCTCCTGCATCCACGACGTCACGCCGTGCTGCTCTGCAGAGCATCGCCAGCATCTCTGCAGCACTGGGACCCTTTGCCACCGGCAGGAACGTGTCAGTCACGGCTTTGATGGAGCTGGCACCGTGGTTCGCCTGAGCTTCCTCCAGCAAACCCGGCGCAGGGGTGTGTGTGCACTCGCTGAATCCAAATGGAAATGAAATAAAACATTTCCAAACCTCAGGCAAGTGTACAGAGAGAATGATAATAAAAGTAGCAGCAGTACATATCTATTATTCTTACTTTGGTCTCCTGAAGATGTGTCCATACTGGGTGCAGGCAAGGCCGACTGTTGGTGTGTATACAATTGGCATTAACCGCTCAATATCATCTTGTAATACCCTATAGAATAATTTTTCATTTCTCTCTTGGATTCCCATTATGTAGATATACCTGAAATCAAGCAAAAGAAAAAAAATGAAAAAAACAAACCACTTGTTTCACGTTTACGCTTATTTAAAAAAAGAAAAATGTCAAAGCAAAACAAAAACTTGCTTCATATTATTTCTTCACGAAATTCCTACTTCCTCTCAGGCTGGGCTTTGAGCACTAAACAAAAGTTGGAAAAGAGAGAGTAGCAGTACTAAAAAGCCGAAATAAAAACACTGGCTAAGACATACCATGCATGCTAAGAAGTTAATAAGCAAATATGCACTGTGACAAAAGATAACCCATGAATTTATTACAGGATGCAGCTGGGAGTCTCATTATTGTTAGAAAAAAAATATCAGTGAAAGAATTTTTCATTCAAAAAAAGCAAGGTCCTGACAGCGAGGTCTTGTTAATCCTAACATTAACACAGTTGTAAAACAAATTAACTCCAAACGAAAAGCTCGTTTTGAAGGACTTAGCTCGGTGCATAACATTAAGCCTGCATTTTTGCAAATTTCCCTACCAATCTACTGTGTATAAATTCATTTTCAGTCTTGCTGACCCGACAACATAAAGATAATGAACTAGTGATTTGTCTTGGGCAACCGGGCGCTTTGCCAATACAGACGACACGACTGCTTCCCATTAGCAAGTGACACGATGTGGATTTAAAAGTCATCTTTTGGTTTTCAGGAAAACAAAAGAGTTTTGATGTGGTCCAGTGAGCCTCCAACCATTCCAGTGCTCCTCTTGCCTTCGGGAGACCGCGTATTTTCACATGCAGATATACATAGGCTTATATGAAAACAGTAACAGGATGCTAAACACATGCCATTCTAAAAAAAAAAAAAATTCGAAATCCTTCACACTTTTTGACCAAACCAGTGGGTTAAACAAAAGATTGCTATAAAAAAAAATTATGTATTATGAACTCACAATTCTAACCCTGTAGGCCCAATGGTCTCCTGGGGTGCATTAGGAGGAGTGTGGCCAGCAGGTCAAGGGAGGTTCTCCTCCCCCTCTACTCTGCCCTAGTGAGGCCCCATCTGGAGTCCTGTGTCCAGTTCTGGGCTCCCCAGTTCAAGAAAAATGAGGAGCTACTGGAGAGAGTCCAGTGGAGGGCTACGAGGATGGGGAGGGTGCTGGAGCATCTCTCCTATGAGGAGAGGCTGAGGGAGCTGGGCTTGTTCAGCCTGGAGAAGAGAAGGCTGAGAGGGGACCTTAGAAATGCTTACAAATATCTGCAGGGTGGGGGTCAGGAAGACGGGGCCAGACGCTTTCCAGTGGTGCCCAGCGACAGGACAAGGGGCAATGGGCACAAACTGAAGAAGAGGAAGCTCCACCTGAACATGAGGAAGAACTTCTTCTCTCTGAGGGTGACGGAGCCCTGACCCAGGCTGCCCAGGGAGGCTGTGGAGTCTCCTTCTCTGGAGATATTCAAGCCCCGCCTGGACGCGGTGCTGTGCAGCCTGCTCTGGGTGACCCTGCTTGGGCAGGGGGTTGGGCTGGGTGACCCACAGAGGTGCCTGCCAACCCCGAACATTCTGTGATTCTGACAATTCCTTTCTAGCAGTAAGGACTGTATACGATAAACACTGGTTTTCACACCTAATTATCAAACCCTCAGTTTACCTTCATTCTCACGTATTTGTCTTGTCTGCGCTAGCTGCCCCTCTTCCCCCTCAATCGTTCTGGGCTCTAGAAACCTGACACCCACATCTTACATATTACAGAAATACATATTAGATATTACATATTACAGCAAGGTTTGCAGCTTTGTTACCGGCTAATTTGTGCAATTCTTTTCGGTTACCTTATCACTACGGAATATAAACAAAAAGCTCCCCAACCTCATTTAGCCACACAATGAATGCGCGATTGATGAAAGCAGTTTTCTGTGCAAAAGTGAAAATAACCTCCAACAACTGAAAAGCCCAGCAGAGGCACAGAAACCTTGTTTCGTTATCCCCATGCAATAGCTTACAGCAATTTCCATTTACTTGCATGACAAAACAAGGCCAGAGGAGTGCTTACTTTTCCAAGGGGTCGGTCATTTTTGCCAAATTCTTGTGGAAGCGTAAGGCTTGGATGTCTTGTGTCTCGATTTTGGGAGGTAGGAGTCCCTGCAAGCCAAGCATCTGTCGTTCATGTAACGTAAAGGCCATACCCTGAAAACAAAGAGAGGTAAGAAATAATTAGCAGTTCTTCCTCTAGCATTTCTATTTATCATGTCTTTCTATTTGCCGTTTCAGACTATCCACTGCATTCTTTTCTCAGGGCAGGTGCCACAGCAGGCAGGGTTTGGATATATTTGCCTCTGCCAGGGTTCTCCTCGTCCTTTGTGGGTATCCCTTTTGACCACAGCTTTTCCACATCTCTCAGACCTCATGCCCTTTGCCGGATTTCACCTTTCTCTGTGAAACTGGAAAACAAGTAAGAGATCCCACTGAAGACAGGCTTAGGTTTAAAAGTAAAATAACCGCTGCTTCTCAAATTGTTTCATAGGAACATAAGGTTGACCAAGAATATGTGGGTTACCCAGTCTCGTCCCTCCAACCACAGATATTTAGTCCGCAGAGGTTTATCTGAATTGCTCCGTTTCCTGCTTTTTTCTACATAATTTTGGTAATCCAGACAGATCCTGAAGTTACTGAATTGCCCTAAGGCTTCCATTGAGATCACAATTCAACCCAAACCCTTCACTTTTACTTAGGGCTAGGACTTAACTCATCTTGAGCTGTAGTGGTCTACTACCAAAAAGGCTCCTTTGTAACAAATTAAGTTTCAGAAGAGTTAAACCACAAAAATATCCCAGCACTTCCATTCTTCTCTGCTTCAAGGTGGATGAAGAGTTTGATTTATTACTATCTAAATACCAATCTGAATTATTTGAAGCCAGATTCAGTAAAACACCTAACAGCCTGCTGTGAGTTACCGGCTAGTAGAGACAGACAGGCATCTTCACCGGGCAGTTAACTCCTAAGTGTAACTCTGCAAAACGTTAACTGACCCGAGCCCGGCTTCACAGCCAACCCGGCTCAAAGCGCTGACCCCATTTCCGACAGCAGCTGACCCCGCTTGAAGTTTGCCACTTGCGAAAGCGCAAGGATAAATTTCCCTGAGTTCAGTTCATCCAACTGGGTCAGTGCAGCGAATGAGTAAATCGGTATTTGCGAACGCAGGAGCTGCAAACCCAGGGAAGCCTTTGCTGCGCCAAGGCTGCGCGCCCATCCGTGAGCAAAAGCAGAATCTGGAAGGGAAAGGTCTGCTACTTGCAATGTTTCGAAAGAGACGGAAGCAAGAAACACCGGCTCCGCTCACCAACAACCCTTCCTTTGTTTACTAAAGCAGCTAGGTTAAAAAACAAGAGCACATTTTCTCAGACGTCTCCACGCTGAAAGCGGATTCTTACTGCCAAGTTAAAAAAAAAAAAAGGTTTTAAAAAGATAAGGTTTGTTTTATGCCTTGCAATTACACTCCAAATTCCTCCTGTAATCAGAAAAATCACAAGAAAAAAAGAGTATTTTCCCACTTTTAGAATAAAAGACAAAATCAGATTATAATGTATAGACTTCCACCTCTGCTTGTGTTTGAATAGGCTTTCACAGTTATTTGTAGAAAGCATGCCCATTAACAAAAAACCCTCTAATTCAGAGTCTATACTTAGTGTAATTCAGCACACTTGAATGGTTTATAAACAATATAACTACCCCTTATGAAAAAACATATTTACAAATAATATTTTGACATATTTTTTCTCTTTGCTTAATCACATTTAACATCAGATGTGTTGACTACCTTGATTTAAGCAAGTCCACTTGCTTTTCTGTACTAATTCTATACTATGTTCCAAAGTAATGAAATAATTGAAGAGTTAGAAAGTGAGAAAAAAAAAGAACTGAACCAAAAAAACTTCAGCGTTTTGCAAAAAACATTTGCAAATACTTTCTTGCAAAAAAAACGTAAGCATTTAACCCTAAACTAGACCAATGCTTTCTATTTCTGACAACCTTCCATGTAATAAATTTGACATTAAATACCGAGCTCCATTTATCCTTTTTCCTACTATCTGCGAGCCATTCACAAACCATCATTTTCTTTCGTCGTGTAACGTTATGCTCAAGTGTTTTTCCAATCTTGCCTGTAAATAAATTTCAGATGAGGGCTTATTCCTGAACTTTTTACCCTTGCTGCTGGTCTTTTGCTGGGCGTAACAGTCACTTTAGCCACGTGGTAGTTTTTTTCTGGAAACCGATTTGAATAATCCAAAACTTCCCCCTGAGAACACAGACATGTCAGCAGCGCTGGCTTGAGAAAAAAGACGAGGAACACACACTGAACGCTGTATTTCTTTTTTCCTGTATTGCAAAGGATCTACTTCAGTTTCACTTCTGCATACTTCACAAGAAATACTGAAAAATTCTCTGGGAATGTTAACACCGCTTCCAAAGTCTCATGGAAGCGAACCACGCAAACACAACATCTCCGCTATCTTCCCCATATCCTTAACCACCCCCTAAATTTGTGACCATCAGCAGTTTATGCCTTTTTAAAGCAATCGTTTCTCAAGACAAACTGTACTTGGAGCTCAAATGATTTATAATACAAAGCTTAGTACAGCTGGTGAACATCTGGAATATTTTGACTGTTACTTTAGGCGCTACAAAAACAAAAATGATGCCAAAAGATTTATGATATTAATTAAAAAAAAAAAAAGTCTCTTTCCAGAAGATTTATAAACACTGGGCAGTAAAGCCACTACTGTCACTAGTTTAAGGCATGTCAAAGGCCAGAATCCCTTCCAGCGGTACCATACTGGCTACACTGACATTTACTCTGAACTAGCTGAAATATCTCACTAGCAAAACCAACATCCTCCCCACCAGAATCTCTCAGGTCCTTTCAAAATGAAGTCTGTCTAATTTCTAATTCCCACTATTATTGTGACACTGGGACATGGTGTTTCCTTAACCTTCCTGTACAGTGAAACCAGTGACCTTAAACTATCTGTGTCCTTAATAATATCAAACAAGCCCAGAGCAGCCACCCACCTTTATTCAGTTTATTCACATTTTTTCCAGTCTACAGGCAACCTGTTTTTTCAGTGTATCTGGAATTACAATAACATTAAACACAGTGAAGTCTTTCAGTGGTACTAAGTACTTCCAGCTGTTTATCTAAGCAACAACAAGATCTTGCCACATTAAAAGATGCTTTAATTTTTGCTCAGGAGCCTGAACGCCATCAGCCTCTGTACAGAAATTTTATCCTCGTTCTAAGTAGAACAGAATAAACTCGGTCCAGAGCAGCACGATAAAAAACCCAGAGCCCTTCCAACACTTGCTGTATTCCCGTTCCTTGTATTGGTCCATGACCACCAGCTGCCTCTTGCTTCCGATTTGGGATTGCGGCTTGTTCCCCACGCAGCACCTCACAGGACACAGGTTTCCCTTCAACTACCGTGCCTAGCAGCTGCCGTATTACAAATTCCCCAGCTTTTCCCCTCATTTTATAAACCCCAGTACAGTTTGGCAGAACCAGCGATCAGCTCCCAGTGAATGAGGAGGCACTCAGCAATTCGCAGCACGGGGACTGGTGCCCTCAAAGGCGCCTAAGATCCCAGCACCTACTTCAGGGCCAAATTCCCTCCGGTTTCCACTGGGATTAAATGCCTAAATATTGCAATGATTTGGGCTCAAGTCACAGGGATCCCTTTTTGGCTTCCTCTGACCCACAGTGCCAGGTGTCCTTTCTCCGAGTGTTATCCCCTGACTTTCACTTAGATGAGTTTCCTTAATCCTCTTTACAGCTCAGGAAAAGCAGGTGTCCTTTCTAAGCTAGCACAGACGAAGCAGGGAGCGCACCTAGGAGAAAACCCAGCACACTTCAGAGACCACCAAGGAATTCATTAATACGCACGGACAAATTTATCGCCACAAAACCAACGCGCTGCCGTGGGAAAAAAAACAAAAAAAAGGAGAAGTAAAATGCACTGTCAACAGCTTTTTTAGTTAAGACAAGCTCACACTGAGTCACCACGTAATGGGCCTTTAATCCACAAACTATCTGGCGCCGGGACCTCTCTTCAGCCCAACAACTGGGCTCTGCTACACAAAGCCAGTGCTGCTATACATACCGGCATATAAAAACTCCAGTTGCCTACTTTGCATGAAGGTGAACAGGAGACCTGAACCCTGCGAGCGTGCTTTTTATAGCACTGCTGAGTAAGTAACGCTGAGAGGTTTCTAAGCGGAGAAGTACTAGTGATGGTAGCTTTTTCCCCACCTGCAAGGTCTTGCAGGCATATACAGAGGAGGGGATACTTTTACCTGATACCTTACTCTCCAGCATTCTGAAAGCCGGCACAGTTCCTAACAAATAACCCATTCAAAGCCCCTGATAAAGACCTAAATGCAGAATATATCCAAACATGTCACTCTTTGGAAAATGAGAGTTAGCAGATCTCCCAGGGAAGATGTAATCAAATGGTTTTCACGGAACTTCTAATCATTATAACATACCCTCAACACTACACCGTAGGCTTTGAAGTAGCATCATAAGCATGTTTAAAATTCAGTAGATTTTATATGGGCTTGTGGGCTGCTTCTTCTCTTAACTCTTCTTCCTTTTGCTAAATCACAAAGTTCACTATGGCACAGCATGTCTCCACTGCAAATTAATAAAGTTCACTCACATGAATCAAAGGTGTATTTGCTATCTCAACCATAGATTCAAAGTTTCTCTGTGTTTATGAGAACAGTGCAGAATATGGAAATCTCCTTTGATTTCTTTCCTCCTTCACATTCTAAACGCAATTTTGTATCTTTATTCTTCCAGAAACAGCATAGTTTATATACTGCAGGGTACAGCTGACACAGCACAGCGATTTACTCCCTG